ATATATTTAATCTATGTGGTCCCACGAGGCGCTGCACAATTAGAAATTTATCACGGGGACGTTACAATTACAAAATGGCGGGTCGTGATCACCTGCGTGCATCTCTCTTTCCAATGAGATTTCGTTCTAAAATTTAGGTCTCTGGTTGAACGTGAAAGTAGAAAAATTTCTTTCCATATTTCGTAGATATTCATGACGTGTATGACGCGTAAAAAGATACATAATATAATATATATAAAAAATCATAATAATGTATATATAGTATAGTATATATATATATACTATAGTATGTAATATAGATATATAGTATAGTATAATATATATATAGTATAGTATAGTACATATATAGTATAGTATAGTATATATAGTATAGTATAATATATATATATATATATATATATATATATATATATAGTATATAATATAGATCATAATAATATCATAATGTACATAATATACATAAAAGATCCAAAGTAGAGTTTTTGTTATAATATTCTATATTAGGTATAAATATTATATAATTTATATATATATATTATATATTATTTATAAATATTATATAATTTATATATATATATTATATATTATTTATAAATATTATATAATTTATATATATATTATATATTATTTATAAATATTATATATATTATATATAAAATATTTATAAATAATATATATAATATATAAAATATTTATAAATAATATATATAATATATAAAATATTTATAAATAATATATATATAATATTATATTATAATATTATAAATATTATATTATTATATAATATTAATAGGAATATTAATATTAATATTTATTAAATAAGGCACAATTTTGTAATTTTATAATGGTACAATTTATTAAATAAGCTATACATTTATAATCAAGACACAAAATACAAAATATACGATCGGAAATTCCATTTTTCAATCGTATTCACAAAACTAGAACACCAAATGCTGAAAATGAGTTTTCAGGTGGCCGCTCGAAATCTCGTGGTCGCCTCCATTCGCCTCGAAATATCGATCAAGATTCCAAAATTCAGAAACCAAAGCGGAATCTCGAAGTTTCGAAGGAATTCTGCGATGTCGGGGGGGATCGTGAAAGTCCACGGGGTATCGGAAGGAGAAGCCTTGACTCGGCCAATTAGAGAGGCGGTGCTCGGGCCTCGGGAGAGCTTCGGCCTTGAGAGTCACTGGCCGGAGGATCGCGAATGCATCTCCGCCAAGTGCAACGGTGCAAGCGTGCATTCGAGCGCGGTGCACAGTGCGCGTAGCGTACGAGAGCTATGAATGGAGCGAACTATGCCCTCGTCTACCCTTGCTGCCGCGCTTTCGGTATTGTTGCGGCTCCTTTCTCTCGTTACCTTCGCCATCTCCCTTCTCCCCCGCCCCTGACCTTCCACAGTTTCGTTTCGTTCAATCTTTCTCCTCCCATCGGGTGAGGAGGAGGAGGCCACCCATCTGTGTCTCTTCCATCTGGGAGATTCTGGCGTTTTAAGCCCGCAGGCACAAACAGCATAACGCGTGTAACGCGACGTTTCGCACACGCGTGAGACCGTGCACCCAAGGTCGTCGGTCATGCTCGATGACCTTTCTCTGCCAGCGGATGATCGTTCGCGGCCGTTTCGTCGGTGAAGCCTCGTTTACATCCGGGGCAACCAGTCACGAGTGTGCTGGAATTTGAACGACTTGCGCTCGCACACGTTTCGGACAAATTCGAGCAGTTGATCCGTTTTCGTATCTGTTTGATCAATAATAAAATAAATCGATTAATGGACAGTCTCGGGCCGAGAGGTTAATATTTTCTTTGTCATGTTTCTTTTATATTTTATATTTGTTATGTTTTTTATATTAGTACATTAATAATTACTAGGATCAATTTTAATAGTCGATATTAATAATTTCGTTAGTAGATATAGTACTAGTCAGATTCATTTTTAGAATAAAATTAACGATACGTCTCGAAGGCAGAGCTGTCCTTATAAGCCCTTATAAGTTTATTATTCTACGATTCTTTTCTTCTTTCTTACAAAATTATAACATTCATTCGATATTTATATGTCCGAATGTTAATCAAAGATATCGCAATTAGCCTTGCAACGTGCAATCTATTGAGAATAGGAAGAAACCTGTCTCTATCTCGTTCACTTTAGATGTTCATTAAAGCTTCGTTTACTAATTAGAGACGACTGAAGTTCCAACGGCCACGTGACAAACATTCGCTTCCATCTTGCGGCATCTCTCGCCCTAAAATCCTATTATACTCATTGGCGGTGATCCTTTGTCTTGGGGGCCGCAGTCGCGCTAGAAATTCAACGCGTCGTACCTTCAGCGGCATGAAAATTAATTTATCGCGGGGCCTCTCTGCGTTGCGTTTTAAGCCGCTCTGACGCTCTCTCTCTCTCTCTCTCTCTCTCTCTCTCTCTCTCTCTCTCTCTCTCTCTCTTTNCTCTCTCTCTCTCTCTCTCTCTCTCTCTCTTTCTCTCTCTATCTCTCTATTTTTTTCACATTCCTCTTTTTTCTTCTTTTTTTCGTCGTTTATTCTCCCTTTCGCTGAATCCCGCGCGTCGAACAAAGGCCGGCAGAAAAGTTTTTCAAACGGAAAAAAATCGTTACGATTCAGTCAGGGGTTATTTCGCGATCGCGTTATTCCAGCGTGTACAGCTCCATTACAAATTGTTCAGCGGTGATCCCGCGTAATCCTATTCATTTGGTGGAATAGGTTTTGAAAGCGAGATCGGGCCGCGTTTCCGGCACGATCGCCGCGAAAATTCACGGAGAAATTTTCGGACAAAATGAGTCATTCATCATCGAATCGCGAATAGAAATGAATCCGCTAGAGAGAAATGAGAAACGGCTGAGGCCCGAATTATTTTGCATTTTGATGCCTGATTTTTCTTTCAATTTTCTTTCCCCCTGTTTTTTCTTTTTAATTGGTTGGTTTTACGTTCGTTATTTTTGTGACTATTATTTTCTTTTGTAATATGATATATCAAGTGTAATATATTTATAATATAATAAAATAATATAATATATAATTTATTGTAATATATTAAAATAATATGATAAATAATATATTATGTAATATTACATAATTTTCATACTTACATGGTTACATATTTGCGAGTTGCAAATTTTTCTTTTTATACTCGGGAATATTGCATTTTCGTTTCTATTTCTTTATAATTGCTTGATTGTTTCTTTCGATCAATTTCCATGTTTGTGTTTAATTTTAACCAGGTTTACGTTCAAAATGTCATTGTGTTTGAAATATCAATTCCTTTTTTATATAGTATGTATTTAAATGCAATGATTTTTTCCTTCTAATTTTTTTTTTCTCAATTCTTGGAAAAGACAGATTATCGTATGATGACGATTTAATAAATTTGACAAACAATCTAACAAAACTCAACAAATTTAATAATTGATAGAATTAATAAACCCAATAAATAGTCCAGCAACGATCGTTAATAGCTATAACAATCGATCCAATAAAAACTAACACATTTAACAAATAATCTACTATTAAAATTCATTTGATAAATAATCTAAATTTCCATCGGTCTTTGTCAATGCAAATTGACGTCATCGAAATATCGATTCGTAAACGTTGTTTTTTCCTTTTTTCCCTTTTTTTTTTTTTATATCGAATCAAAGACTGTCGTCCGTATTTCAAAATGATTCCTCACGTCTGTTCTCGCAAATGTATTTCGTTAATATCGAATGTTGCTATTTATTCCCGCGCATATTGAATGAAATTCGAAATTTCAAAATCAAATACGGTTAAAAATATCGCGTTCTGACGAATGAAATTAAGCTTGAACAGAACGTTCGTTTACCTTTCGTTTATTATTCGCTCGTTTCACGGTATGCTTCATCAAACAACATGTGTCATTGTTATTTTTGCTCGTTCGTAACGTGTGCTCGCGTAGAAGAGCCAACTAATTAGGCAGCCAAGGGTCGTTTTCGCGCAAACTTACGAAAATACTCTATGTATAAAATATTTTGAAATTTTATCAGAATTTTTATTGTGTTATTACATTGATAAGTTTAATGTGAGAAACTTAAGACTGTCGTGATTATAAGTTTAAAATCTATTTAAAGTGAAATGAAAAAGGATCCAAGAGATAAGTGGCCAGAGGATCATATTATATTTTTGGAAAATAGAATTATACTTAACAAGAGTAACGAATAATATATACGAAATTGGTAAATGAAAATAAAATTCGAGAATTACGTGAACCTTTAAACAATCGACATGCGATATAACTATTAATTTAAAATTATGCATGGCTGCTTAAGAGTTAAACAGCCATTAAATTTCTTGTATATGTATAAATTAATTCTACAAATTCACGTTCATCCTAAATAAACGTTAAATATGGTTTAATTAAATATTGCAGTTTGCTAGTATCATGGATAACTGACTGTTCAAATAAATTCATATCTGTAGAATTAATTTTGTATAAATAATGAAATTCAACATATAATCGGTCACGGAAATTTGTTTCTCACGTTACATCACAAATAACACATTTATTAAAAAGCACAGTGGCGCATAAAAATCGTTGTTAAGAGAAGAACCATTATTTCTCTCGAAACCAAAGTTTCGTACGACAGTGTAAATAAATTGACTGTACGAAAATCCATAAAGCGAGTGAAACATTTTGATACACTTCAATGTACATTACGTTGTAATTATAGTAAATTTATATTGATATATTGAACGTAGTATATTATATATTCAATGTAAATTTCATGATTTTTAAGAAACAACGTCATTTTTCCAGACTCTCTGTACAAAAATTTACCTAATATAAATAATTTATATTCAATAGAGTTTTAATGGATTAATAAAATATTTCGAATTTTATCTTGATTTGAATTTTGCAAGCGTACTTACGTAAATATTCGTGACTGATCGTATTTAATATTTATTTGAAATTTTTGCTTACGCGTTTCGAACGGTATGGTCGTTGAAAACGGGACGATCTGTTGCAGGGTGCAGGTACGAGGGTCGCAGATACCAAGAGGGCACGTCGGTGGTCACGTCCGAGCCCTGTTTGCAGTGCAGGTGTAGCGACGGTGCGCTCAGATGTCGTCTTCGAGTTTGTCCACGGCTACCAAACCCACCACCCACTGGATGTCGCGTTCATTCGCCAGGGGAGAACGTCTGCTGTCCGGAATTAGTTTGCGACGAGACACGTTAGTACGATTATTTTACGAAAAATTTCACGATTACTTTGATAAATGAAGAAAGTATCCTGTTAGGAAACTTATTTTATTTCGAATTGACATGATTTTAGAGTAACAATATATAATATTAGCGAATAGTAAGAAAAATAATTATTGGACTAATGTGATTAACTTCGTGTATTTAGAAATACGTATCTCAAGGTATTTAAATAATTCATTGTCTCGATAAAAATAGAAGATCGTTGATAATTTCTGTGAGAAATGGAGAAAATTAGAGATGATCGAAAACGTAAAATTGGAATTCGAGAATTAGAAAGTTAATGAATCGGATTGTAAAATTGTTTTCTTCTGCAGACAAACGAAATTCACAATGTAAGGAACTGAGGATGATTAAAACGGAGTCAAAGGTGAAAATAAAAATTGAAAGTTAGAAGTAGAGATAAAAATTAAAAATAAAAATTAAAAACGAAGATCAAGAATGAGAATTAAAACTAGAAGTAAATTCAACTTATTAAATGTCAATTAAAAATCGGCAGCTCGAAAAATTAAATTACAAAAGTTCCCCTGTCACGAAGAAACGAAATTCAAGGCAAATTCAACGCAAGTGAAAATTTTCAGGTGACGCGATGAACATGCTACGAAGGTCTAACGTTCACGTGGAAGAAGGGGAGAAGAACGAGGTGCCCCAGAACTCTCGTTTTCAAGGTAATTATCGCACAACTGTGGAGAATACAAGTGAATTATGAATGCACTCGAAACTCGATAAGTAACGATTTCCATTGTTGTGTGGTGTCAAACGATAGTAATTGAAAACGGCGTTGAAATTATCACGAAGTAGTTGACAACGGTCCCATTAAGTTCCGAATCGTCGATGCCTATTTTTAGCAAACGTATAAAACAGAGAATGGTTGTTGTGCTTTAAGACACGTGGGGAACTGCGGTTTACACCTTTATCGTCGTTGCCATAATCTACGATATGCTACTGCGGCCTACAATTTGAGGGCTAGCGCTGTTATTACCCTCCACTTCGTTGATACTGCGGTATACTACTTGGAAATTATCGCTTCTATAACGTACGATTTAGAATTTGCTCCGCAATTTAACCAAGGTCGCCATTAAGTCTCGTAGGATTTCAATTTTTCGGAACGGGGTTTTCCTACCCCTTCCTGTTATTTCTCCACCCTTGCAATTTTCCAGAGATTCTATCTTCTTGAAATTAAATAAGCTCCTTGAGCTTCGAAATCCTTCATTCCAGATCTTTGTTGATCTTCGTTCTCTCGACAATTATAAATTAGAATTACAAATTAGAAGCGTGAATTATATTTAATGAATTAGCAAATTAACGAACAAACATTACAGATGACCCATTGATTTAAATGAAACGATAACGTGACGTTTCAATAATTAAAATTCTCCGATTTTAAATTCTTGTAATTCAGGTTTCTTTCTTTTAATTACAGAATTAATCCCTTAAGAATGTCAGAAAAATTTATTTAATTTAAAACGACTCTGCCTGTCTATAAATTCACGTTATTTGTAGATGCAGTAACACGTCAATGTTAACTCCAATTTCAATTTAATACACGAAGTTTGCATTGAATTATAATATAATAATATAAATAATATTATGATAATGTAAATTATAACATAATATAATACAATCATATTATAATATAACAATATAAATTCATTGAATTTATATCACGTTTGTGCTAAATTGTTTAACAAGCAATTTAAATAAATCTTCGTTTGCGACACGAGAAATACAAAAAACAGAACAATAGAAAGTCACACAAATGTTGAATTTAAATCTAAACGATTTGTTTAACTGTCGAGATACCGTGAATAAGTAAAATATCCTCTCAACATATCGACATACAGTTACCACCGCCGTGACGTAGTTTAAGAAAGTTACCCGAGGAGAAAGTGTAGCTAGGAGGTAACCCCGTCAAAGAAAACTACGTTCGAGAGTGGTTGCAGTTAAAAGATTCAACACGGTGGCTGATGGTCGTTGGTGTTAACAATCAGGTTGCTTGCACGAGGGCGTGAGATACGGGCCTGGCTCGGCGATGATGGGATCACGTAGATGCGAGTACTGCTACTGCATCTCTGGCGCGAGAAGATGCATCAGGCCAAAGTGCCTTCTGCCCCTGCCAGGATGCACTCCGTTATATGCTCCGCAGTCTTGTTGCCCGGTTGCCTACAATTGCACACGTAAGTGTCTTATCGTTCACTTGTAAGTACAAGTCGCACCGTGGACTGTAATCCATTCTCTTCTTTGCTCTTTGTTGTTGTTTCAGATATCCATTTTTCGACGATGGCACCGGTCACGGGAAACGGTGAGCAAAGCGCTTCGTTTATAACGCCTCCTCTTCTCTTTCTTCTTCCCTCGCGTTAGAAGAGATAATATTGTATTAATTATTATTCCTATTGATAATATATATATATATATATATAATATGTATAATATACATATTATATTATATTAATTATTACTCCTATTGATAATATTAAATATAATAATTAATATAAATATATATATTATTTAATATAAATAATTAATATAAATATATATTATTATATATTTATATTAATTATTATTCCTATTGATAATATATATAATATGTATACATATTATATTATATTAATTATTACTCCTATTGATTATATTAAATATAATAATTAATATAAATATATATATATTACTTAATATAAATAATTAATATAAATATATATATTATCATATATTTCATACAATAATTAATATAAATATATATATTATTATATATTTATATTAATTATTATTCCTGAATATATATAATATGTATAATATTATATAATATAATATATATAATTATCATTATTCCTATTAATTGCACGAAACTTTTGATTTGAAGCGAAGTGATATATTGTCATTCTGATTTTTATAATTTTAGGAATTATTTTCTTTTCTCTTCGTTTTTCTACCTTCGTGTTACAATCTTGGAGATTTTAAACTTAGTGATTATAATTGTAAAGCATTTATTGATTTAAGAGATGCTATACGACTCTTCTTTTTTTCCTTCTGTCTTTATGTTATAAGAGAACGTTAGAGTTTTTGCATTTAACAGTTACAATTGTGAATTTTTTATTGATTTAAATAGAATGATGTATGACCACGACTCTGGCATTTTAGAAAGAGATTTTGGTCTTGGAAGGTGCTCTCTGAATGATGGAAAAATAAATAGTATATAGAGAGGAGCAAAGTCCTGGAAGTTTCTACTTCTTGAAATTGAAAGATCTTAAAGTACTTTGTCCTGTGTAGTACGTTCTGTTACTCATAAAGAAAACAATATGAAAAGAGATACGAAGACGTACAAATAGGAAGATTCATTTATCTATTAATACATCTCTAACGTAAATTTGAATTGTTCACATCAGTATGCAAAATTAATTATTCGTGTTTATAGAAGAAGCACACAAAGAACTACAAGGAACTACATTTACTAACGAATTGGTTGAATTATTCGCATTAAAGAAAAAAAAAAAAAAAAAAAAAATAAAAAA